AACTACCACATTTCTCTTCTTTAATAACTCTATAAATCGTAGATTTCCCAACACCAAGTGTACTGCTAACTAACTCAACGGTCTCATCAACACTTTCACATAAACGTTTGTCTGTAAATGATTTAAAACAATTAAATATTAATGTTTTTTTATTAACTGTTAAAGGACCAATTTTTCGGCGTTTACACGGCACTTCCAAATTTTCCATAACACTAGTATACACAATAAACTGCACCTTGCAACTGAAGTACCTACTTTTAGTGAACTGTTAAGAATTTTGAATACGCCACTTGGACCTTCCTACAAAATGGAAAAACCCACTATCACATTTTCTGTGGAATAAGTTTAGAAGGTAATTATCTAGTCAATTACTGTCGTAGATTCCTGGAATTAAAGAATTAAATGTTTGATTGTTGAAACCCTTACTTCGTGGAATGCACTCATTTCAGATAAAATAAAACGTTTTATTTTATCTAAAGAATTAAACTTTATTTTGAAAATAGGTAGGTACTTATTAAACTTTTATTGGTTATATATAACCAATAAAATAAACATCTTACATTTCTTGTAAATTCATTAGTACCTGTTAACCTCCATCACTCCGAGACTGGCAACCTTATTTAGGGATTAGTAACCCTCACAACTATTGTATTCTATTCTGCTCCAACCTTTATACCTGGTGGTCATACTCAATTTAAAATTGTTTTCCTATATACTTCTGTAAACTTGTTGACAAATATCTGTTTTTCATTGAGTCACCCGTATCAACAGTTTAGGGATTTGCATACATAATTTATTGTTTTATTACTCTCTCATACATAAAAATACACTATAGTAGTCAAATCGAATCTATTTTTATTATTTTTTTCCAAATGCATTAGAATATTTGATTAACTGAATTAATAACAATTATTCACATAACAAGTCTTCCTTGCATTAATAAAAATTGACATATGGTACACTTAAACAAAATAAATAGCGTTAACAAATTTCAATATGTGCAACAGATGGTGTACCAGCAATTATTTCACTATAAGAGAACTTTTAAATATATACTTACTTAGCATGGTAAGTGGGAATAATGTTTAGATGGCAACATTACTAATATTATTTAAAATGCGGTAAAAAACACGCAATTACCTCATTATTTATAGTCGCGTTACACATTCGAGGTTGCATTGACCGGAAGTTCAGATACAAACATACCATTCTGGTGATACAGTTCTTTTGTCGAAGTGCAAAGATCCCACACCTATAATAAAACTGCGGGATAATAATTGTTTCACCATAAATAAGTAAAATTTACATCATAGAAGTTGTACAGATAAATACGATTCTAGAAAATTTTATACTTTTTTGTATTTTATCCTATCAATAGACTCAAAACGTGATTAAAACACAAAGAAATGTATATTTTTTAGTGCCTACGAATTTAACAATAACTTAATTGTTCAATTCAAATTCAATATTGATACATTTAATAAAAAGGTCAGTGTGGCTTGGAACAATTGATTGTCAAAGATGATTAGGTTCACTCACTCTGTGAAATAAAGTGCCCAATAGAGAAAACAATGACGGCTTTTGTTTTTGGTATTTTGTATACATAGAGTATCTTATTGGACTCGATGAAGTGGGGAAGATATACGAGCTCTAACAACAAAATGTTCGGACAAACGAAAATTTATTGAAACAGTTCATCTTCACAACTTTTTTGCTTATCAAAGAACAAGATCAACAATACATTAAACTCTATCATTAATAACAAAATATTCAAAATGGCCTCTATAAACCTTGAATTGCAGCGTTGGCAGCAAAATAAACGAAAATGTTGCATAACATCGTGATAACTAAATGTTCGGATAATTAAAAAAATTGCTACTTTAATATGGGGTTACACTGCCACGCGACTTTAGAACCGCGGCAATTCTGTTTGGCACTAAGGCTAGGCGCATACACATCGAATTTGGACGGTCGATAAAAGTTCGATAGAACTTTTGTCGATGATGCCTGCACCGATGATGCGATATTTATTCGATGACGTTTTTTAATCCACAAAGGTTTGTTAGGTCACAGTATAAAGAGATTCCAGATAAAGAGTGGAACCTCTTTATACTGTGGTTAGGTGGAGTACACAAAATCACAATGAGCAACACAGAACCACGTAGCAACACGGAGCGACGTACCTTGACCAGTGTCAAAAAACGCAACTGGTCCTCTCGTCGGTCGATAAAGATCGATGTGTGTGTGTGTGCGAGCGTTCATTTGATACTATACGCCTTGGAACGACGGCAACGACCACGGCAGCCGTGAATGCAGTGACATTACTGACATTCATTGATCGCCATACGACCGTCACACGACATCGATGCCGTGCCGTTTGGCGATCGATGTGTGTGCTCGATCACATTTTTTTCTTCGCGCCACCAAAGGAATTTGTTCGACCGAACTTTTATCGACCGTCCAAATTCGATGTGTGTGCGGCGGGCGTTACTCTTCAAATCTGCCGACGGTTCTCTGGGGATCATTACGCAATTTCTGTTTCATCTTATGCCACAATATCTCACTAAAATTAAGGTCTGGACTGTTGGACGGCCATGAGAGCACATTAATGTTATTGTCTCCAAATCATTTTTTAGTTATTTTAGCTATATGACATGCGACACCGTGCTGTTGGAATATAACATTCAAGCCCGCTTAGAGATCGTGAGCACTTGGTACTATTTTTCAAAATTTCTTGATACTTTAATTGCTGCGTTAATTGTGCCTTTCACCATCTCATATCTTCCTAGATTAGCTGATGATATACACCGACAAATCATAGTGCCCTTAGGAAACTTCACAGTTCTTTTGAGTCAATCTTTATAGAATGCTTAATTTTGACTTCTGATAACCCGTTCGAAACTCTCCCCCCGTTTTCATGTACCGTTGATGACTGGTTCAGAGTGATATTCAGTGACGAATCGAAATCTGATGTTTGCGTGGGAGACTTTCGAAAACGGGTTATCGGAAGTCAAAATGAAGCATTTCATAAAGATTGCCTAAAAACCACTGTGAAGTTTCCCAAAGGAATTATGATTTGGGACTGCATGCCATCAGCGGTTTCAGGAAGATATAAGGTGGTGGAAGGCAGAATTGAAGTATCAAGAAATTATGAAAAATTTTGAAAATATTTTGTACCAAATGCTCATGACTCTACCAGGATTTGAATTTTATATTCCAGCAGGACGGTGTTGCATGCTATTCAGCTAAAACAACTAAATAGTGGTTTGTAGAAAATAATATTAAAGTCCTGTAATGGCTTTTGAATAGTCAAAACCTTACTGTTATTGAGACATTGTGACAAGATGAAACAGAAATTGCATAATGATCTCCAAAGAACCGTCGCACATTTAGTTGTCACAATGTTATGCAACATTTTTGTTTATTTTGCCGCCAACGGTACAATTCAAATACAGTCGGATCCATTTCAATATTTTATTATTAAATATAGAGTTTAATGTATTTATTGATCTCATTCTTTGGTTCAATAAGAAAGATCGTAAAGATGAACGTTTTCAATAAAATTTCGTTTGTCCGAACATTTAGTAGTTAGAGCTCGTATAGTAGATATTCCTAGGAAAGATTCATAGCAGACGAAGGCTTAGAAGACGCATAATTTCGTAGGTTAAAAATTTGTTGCCTTTCTACAATTTCACATGATGAAACATCTTGAACTAACATTGAAGTTGATGACAAATTCAAACTATATAAATTGTCACGCGCTACTGCATTTCATTTCAAAAGTTTTAAATTGTTCATTTTTCCCCAAAGTGGGAGATAACTTTAAATTTAAGTAATATTTACATTTAATAAAACTAATTTAACTAATTTAAATGATTAGAAAAATGAAATGCAAAATAGACCTATTTAAGAATTTTTATTATGCTAAAAGTAAAGTTGACGAAATTTGACAACAGTCGAATTGGCCCACAGACCAATTATTCTTGAACATTTCGTATTACTTTTGGTAAAATTTTCTTGGTATCTTTTATTTCTATGCGGCCTTGATCATCAATATCTCTTGGTTTATTTAACTGGATTTAAAAAGCAGCTCAGACTAGGAGACTGTACGGACATTCGGTGAATGATAAAGCATTTGGGCTGTCTTAGTGTGATTGATAGCAAAACAAGAAAGAGTTTTTTATTTATCCAAAAGCTTCTTTCCAAATTTAATCATTCATTTTTAAGTAAATGGAAAATAACACAAATAACAATCGAATCGATATTCTTAAATCTAATAATGGAAAATTAATTTAGTTAAGTGAAAATGCAATGCAGATATCTGTATTGAAATAGCTTTTATTTATAGACATTCATTTTCATTGGATTATAAGGTCATACTGACCTGCCCTTTAAATTGATTGTTGGGAGTAGATTTATAATGAATTTTGGTATTTTGCTGCCGATGCATAAAGGTGAAGTTAAAAATAAGCATAATATGAATAATTCCGGTATGCATATACATGTTAGGCGTGTAAATTTTTTAAGATTGTAAATGATACATTCAAATTTATACCAAGTAATATAGTAGTATAATTAGACTAGTGTAGATTTAATTGAGAAAAATGGTCAATATTCTAAAGTTGTTTGTAGTACTAAAGCAATCTGAGAAGTTTTCGACCAACATATATATTTTTTCCTTGAGTTTGTAACCTGGAAACCTTTTTTGAATGGTGATAGAAAGGTCACCAATGAAGACAGAACGACAGCCAGATGCTTGGTGGAGAGGAAGTAGTGGGTTTGAAACTAGCTTTTGGAACCGGGAATGGGTCCAACCGACGAAATAAATAAAGACAGGGCAGGATAAGATAATTAAGAAACCTTAGAAACGAAAAGAGATAATGGTGGTTTTTGTTTGAATATATTTGTATCTCAAATATGTCTTTGTCACCTTGGAGATATGGCAACTTTGGACGCATGGTATAACATGGTCTTTCATATAAATCTGGAACATGACACCCTCATGTAGTTGGAAGGGCATATTTGGGACCCGGTGTTGTAAATCCTTTAAGAGGTGGTCTCCTTGATTTAATTGTATAACATGGTGGTCTCTGATCTTTCATTCGAGGAAATAGTTCGGGATGATAAGCATTAGCATCTGGGCCCACAAACTGAGTCAGCGGTTTTGCTCTGGATTTAATTGAATATTTAGGAGTGGTAACTCTCCCTACGCGATTATATCGCTCTGGATAATATTTAGGTCCAGGACCAAGGGTTTTACCAATGAGTAGTAATTTCGGAGCCATTGTATAATTAGGATATCTATATTTGGAGACGTCATGTTTCGGATATCCTATTACTGAAGGTAAATTGTATTTGTTTGGAGCTGGAAAAGAGATAAGGAAAGATATTTAGGTTCTGAGACCAAATCCAAGGAAAGATTATTAAATACAACACACTACATAAACAAATAATAAATATTGCAATTTCAACTAAAAACATGTCATAGCGACACTAGTGACGTCTAGCGGATATTTTTGCTATTATTATCGTGCCAGTTTTGCAGGTCATAAATAAGGCTTTTTCAAGCCTCCTGGTGATGTTAACTAAATTTTGTCAATTTTTGAGTTAAGCTACTATTGCATATAGCCGACGAAGTGGCAACGCTTAACCTTCAATTTCATTCAAGAAAAAATTGGCGGCTAAAAAGTTTAAGCGTAGTTTTTAAAGTGTTCAAAATTATACATATGAATGAGGTAAAAAACTGCAACTTAAATAAAGTCGTCCCAGGAACGCACCTCAAAAATACTGAAAATATCATTTTAAAGACATCTACTCTAAAATATGCCACGAAGAAAATGTACAATGAATTTTTTTGTATTACCAAGAAGCAAAACAAACAACATTTGTTTGATTTGTATTTTGAGAACGATTTCCAAAGTGGAGATGGAAACATTAAAATAAACTTATTTTCGATTGAAATTGTTAATTCATAACAAAAATAGTAACTTTTAAAGCAATAAGTTAATGTGAAAAGATTAGAAAAATCAAATTACCTTGAATATAATAATTGTTTGTAATAATAAATTTCCGTTATCAAGAGAAAGTAAATTAAATCTAACGTAGGAGGTTTGAAACAGTGTTTTGAAACTATAGGAAGGAGTGTTGTGTACATATTATGTATATCTACTGTTTATCGCTTATATTTTGGTAGTGGGTTTAGTTTTGTTGATGATTTCTAGTGTACAGGGGCGTAGGGTTAGAAACCCAGTAACAGACGTAATAAAATGTTTTAAAAAAAGTTTTGCAATTCTTGATACCTATTTGAGTGTATAATGGTTTGAACAATTCAGTAAGTTTATCAGTTGGCCGCGGGAAATAAGGTAAAGAACAGTATATAATAGGGGACTCAAATGTGGATACTTCCACATAAGTTGAAATTCATTTAAGACTTTTATGGACCTTTGAAGCTTTTTTAGACTTATACCAATTTGGGAGAGTTTCATCGATCCATACAAGTAATAACTAAATTTCAACTTGAGGAAGTATCCACATTTGAGTCTATTAAAATACTGGTTTTTACCTTATTTCCCGCAGGTTATATTGTTCAAATAAAAAGGACCCTTAAAGGGCGTACAACATCCCATCGAAGTTTATTGATTTTGATTACATTAAAACCTTAGTCACAGAAAGTAATTTCTATAAGAGATCTTCCTGTAAATGTGCCATATCATAACGTCAGCTGAATGCAATAGTGTCACAACACAGAAATTGGTAATTTTTCAAAACAGGTGTTTAAAGTTTGTGTGAAAATAATTTTTTGTTATTTGTTTTACTACAGCAATTGAGATTTTTGACAAAAAACAATTTTATTGTATTTGGGAGAACGTTAGGTAGCCCTTAATGAATTGTAACACAGATTTTTAAATTCAACCCTTATTTTGAGTTGTGCCACTATTGCACATCAACATTTGGACTTTTACGACTAATTAAGGCAAAGACAAAACTGACATTTTTTTGTTATTCCTATCAACTGAAATAAAGGTTCATTAAAGATTACTATAAGTTACTTGAATGAGAAAATGCGTTTATTAACAACTATAAGAAGAACGAAATAAAAAGGTATATATTGATAATATTAGGAAAAGTTATATTAAACAATGCTTTCAATGTCGGTAGAAATCAACGTGAATTGGTGAAACAAGCTTGTCTTAAAAAAGGCTATAGTGTATTTTTATGTATGAGAGAGTAACAAAACAATAAATTATGTATGCAAATCCCTAAACTGTTGATACGGGTGACTCAATGAAAAACAGATATTTGTCAACAAGTTTACAGAAGTATATAGGAAAACAATTTTAAATTGAGTATGACCACCAGGTATAAAGGTTAGAGCAGAATAGAATACAATAGTTGTGAGGGTTACTAATCCCTAAATAAGGTTGCCAGTGTCGGAGTGATGGAGGTTAACAGGTACTAATGAATTTGCAAGAAATGTAAGATGTTTATTTTATTGGTTATATATAACCAATAAAAGTTTAATAAGTACCTACCTATTTGCAAAATAAAGTTTAATTTTTTAGATAAAATAAAACGTTTTATTTTATCTGAAATGAGTGCATTCCACGAAGTAAGGGTTTCAACAATCAAACATTTAATTCTTTAATTCCAGGAATCTACGACAGTAATTGACTAGATAATTACCTTCTAAACTTATTCCACAGAAAATGTGATAGTGGGTTTTTCCATTTTGTAGGAAGGTCCAAGTGGCGTATTCAAAATTCTTAACAGTTCACTAAAAGTAGGTACTTCAGTTGCAAGGTGCAGTTTATTGTGTATACTAGGGTTATGGAAAATTTGGAAGTGCCGTGTAAACGCCGAAAAATTGGTCCTTTAACAGTTAATGAAAAAACATTAATATTTAATTGTTTTAAATCATTTACAGACAAACGTTTATGTGAAAGTGTTGATGAGACCGTTGAGTTAGTTAGCAGTACACTTGGTATTGGGAAATCTACGATTTACAGAGTTATTAAAGAAGAGAAATGTGGTAGTTTTCAAATGCCACGTAATGCTCCAGGGAAACCAAAATTTCAAATAGAATATCATTTTAAAGAAGGACTTCGACGGAAAGTGCATGAATTCTTCTTTAGACAAGAATTTCCAACATTGGATAAAGTTCTTGTCTCAGTTCGAGATGATAAGGATTACCAGAAATGAGTCGAAGTACGTTATGGAAACTTTTAAAAGAAATAGGCTTCCGCTGGAAAAAGAATCCCAGAAAGTCTATTTTATTAGAAAGAAGCGATATTGTCATATGGAGAAGACATTTTCTAAGAACCATAAAGGAAATGAGAAACCACAAAAGAAAAATATTTTATCTTGATGAAACATGGATCAACGAGAGTCATACACCAAATAAATTTTGGCAGGATGAAACTGTTACAAGTCAAAGGCACGCTTTTGTAAATAACTTATCTACTGGTTTAAACCCACCATCAGGAAAGGGACGCAGGCTGATAATAGTACACATTGGCAGTTCAGACGGTTTTGTTGAAGGTGGTTTATTAACTTTTGAATCAACTCGTACCGGTGACTACCATGAAGACATGAACGCTGATGTCTTTCAAAAATGGTTCGAACAAATGATAGATCTTCTTCCTAAGAACTGTGTAATAGTAATGGATAATGCAAGTTATCACTCCAGACTTATAGAAGGACTGCCCACAACCAAGTGGTTAAAAAAACTTGCAGAATTGGCTGAGTTCAAAAAATATTACGTACCATCCCGGATATATAAGAAAGGAACTTTATTCGTTGTGTGCCCTTCATAAAGAAAAATTTAAAAAATACGAAATTGATGAAATTGCCAAAAATCGTGGAATGACAGTACTTAGATCCCCACCATATCATTGTGAATTAAACCCGATTGAACTGGTATAGGCACAGATAAAGAGTGAAGTTTCAAGAAAAAATACCACTAAAATTCATGATGTTAAACAGTTGTTTTTGGAGGCCGTAAATAATGTAAAACCTGAAAACTGGGAAAAGGCAGTAAATCACACTATTATAGAAGAGGAAAAAATGTGGAAGCTGGACAATATTACTGATAAAATGATCGAGTTGATCAAGCCATAAATCTTGGTTCTGAAAGTTCATCTTCTGAATCTGATTTGGATTTGTAACAAGTAGCTGTAAGTTTTATATTAATATTTTTATTCATCTATTTAACATACCTTAGACGGTTTTAAAAACTCTTTTTCTCTTTTGTAATTTTTAAAAATTAAAAAAAAAGTGAATTTTTTAAAACCCTTTTTAATGTAGGCCAGTCAGTTCTAATATAGTGTGTGATAAAAGAGGTCACTTTTGTTTACATACACATAACACTTTATAACACTGAAATAATTCATTTATTTTTTACAATTATTCAAAGTAATTTTTCAATTAATCTTGAGCACGCCCATGGAGTGGTCGGAGATACCAGTTAAAATTATGCTAATTACTCTCTCGTTCATAAAAATAAACTATAGACAAGGCGAAAAGCTCGGGAAAGTTCAGAAAAATATTGCCATGATAATTTTTTTCATATTCACTTTCATGAGATATCCCAAAATAAGGATCAATAGGCCGCCTAGGCGAAAAGATTTAAATTTTAAATTGTTTTAAACAATTTTCTTTAAACACACTGTAACAATCAATTTTTCGGTCCAGACAATTTTTTTTTAATTTCTGGACAAGTCTGAACAAAATAGGTCTCTTGTAATTTTTTTGTAAACGTGGTCGTTTTGAGGTATAAAAAGTTTAAAACTGAAAAAAAACACAAAATTACGATTTTCAAGACTTAATTTCCAATTTTGAACAATTTTTGAATTCACCAAAGGCCTAAATTCAAGTTCAAACCTTACTGTATCATTTCCCGATAAGTGCTTCGGACTTTTTTAATTTTAAAACATTGTTTTTAATCGTTAATGAAACGCTTATGACAGGACGGGCGCCAGGACTGCTGCGTGTATAAGAGAGAGCAACAAAATCTATGGCACAAATTTTTGCTGGTTTGAATTCTCATTTTACAGATTTGCTTACCGTCCTGCCATGCGCCAAAAATTGATAAAATTTAATTTTTCAAAATTAATTTTAAAGCTTATAATCATAGCTTTAAATCTTTTTACGTTGAACAAAAACAAAGTTATACACATAGCAAACGTGTCTGATATAATCGATAATTTGTTATTTGCTAATAATAAATTTGTAATATCTCGGCTTGTAATGAACCGATTTTATTTTTTTAAAGTTTGTCTTGTTTGTT